TATTTTTTTCTTCAAAGATTTATTGCTGGTAATTTTTTTACAAAAACTTATTTCTGCTATTTTTACACATTCATAGTGTTTTGACCCCAGTTTGGGGGTTAATTATTTACCCATAGCTGGGACCCTAACAGGTACTACCACCTCAGGTCAGGGTGGACCTGGGAACACCAGCAATTAATAGGTGGTTCCACACTCCTCAAAACCTCCTGATGAGAGGTCTTGCTGTTGGACGTAGTTTATCATCTTACCCAGGTCGGACGTGTTCCTTAAGTGAGGAAAGGATGTATAATTAAATAATATATTTTTGAATCATAATTTCGTACTTTTTCTTCATCTTAATCAAAAGTATTTGAATTTCATTGCCTGCGTCAAAGAATGAACTCGCTACAGAACTCGCGAGCAGGCAACTTGTACAATTTATTCAATGTTTATACGCACTTAATACTTGATACTAATATTGAAATATTGGTGCATAATTATCAGGCGTTTTTAGACAATATTTATTATGAAAAAGAATCATAACAATTCAACAATAACATTTTAAATGATTATTTCAGAGCGTATGATTATCGATACGCATTGTTATAACCTAAAATAAAATAATATTTTTATTTAAAAAAGTAAACAAAACAGAAATTTTTATTATCAAATAACTCGCCTAGAAAAACGCCTGATAATTATGCACCTACACACTATTTTGGTGTTACTATTTCATCAAGGGAGATCACTCTTTAAACTTATTTATAAAAAGGGAGATAACAAAATATTCTTAGACTAAAAATTAAATTTATTTCGTAAATACAAATCCAGTATATCATACTACAGAAGGATGTTGAGAATATCATGAAAAGAGAATGTGAGCAACTACGAAGTTTTACAGAAAATGGAAACGAAATCAGGAAGAGACAGTTGATGTTTCTAGGACAAATAATGGAGAAATTTCATACTCACAGGACAGATTGAAAGGAAGAGAGACAAAGGAAAACAACACATAAAATACTTAGTGAGCTTGAGTAAATGGATGGCGGAACAAGGTTTAGGAGAAATAACAAAAAGACAAGGGATGGGATGTTGTGGAGAGTCATGATCGCCAACGTCCTAAGGGTACGACACATAAAAAAAGAAGAGAAATACTTGTAAGAATAAATAAAACTATCAAAAATATATTCGAAAAATATATTGTATTATATTTTGAATTTTCTTAATTCGTTTCTTCTTTTACTTAAATTTTCAATTCAGGAAGTTAGCGATCATGGCTCTTCACAACTTCCTATCCTTTTGTAGTGGACCATGGCTGTAATGTTGTTGAGTAGAAGTAGAAGAAACATGTGGGTTCAGATTTTCCTACTAGCTGGTCCAACTACACAAGAAAGTTGGACTTTTAATTAAGTCCAAAGAATGCAAAGAAAACAAACAAAACACAAGACCGATAATATATGTATACAAATATATATATTAATAACAGTTTACATAAACACGGTTACAAAAGGAAAAAGTGTGTGTGAATATTATATATGTGCGTTTGTGTGTGTGTGTATTGTGCTTAGCATGTTCCCAGCATTTTGGGAAACGCTATCTGTGGTGGGCGTTCACATTTTTGAGCTGGTAAGGCTGGAAGCCTGAGGAAAAGGAGAGATTTACCTCAAGGTGTCGGCGCACAGGCCTGGGGGAAAAAAGAGAAAGAGGCGAAGGGTCAGCGGCTATTTATAGCCAGGGAAGAGAGACCCCTGGTGAAAGGGTTAACGAACTAAAGAGGAGTTAACTCCGACATTTTGTAGCACTAAGCAATTTTTGTCCCCTTGCTATCACCACGCTTCCCGTTTTGTCATTAATTTACAAAAGCTCCTTTCTCTTGCCTTCACTATGTCCTTTAAATGTTAAATTCTCCAAGCCTTCCTTCCTCATCCGTCCCCGAATTTTTATCTATCTCTTCCTGATTCTAAGTACAGGTGTATATTTGTTTACATTTTCCTTCAAACGTCCTTGTTGTTCGCATGTCCTGTCTATGGCATTCTCAGCATCCTTCTGTAGAACCGTAAGCGCATTTGTGGGGCTTAATCTCAAACCAGACCTCAAGTGGAACATGCATACGATTTATCGCTGAAGAGGCTTGAAATTGGTCGGTTCCCTGTAGCGCTCAAACAAATACCTGACGCTATCCTCTATATTTACAAGAGCCAGGTCAGGCCCAAAATGGAGTAATTCTGTCATATAATGGCAGCGGTTTGTGGAAGGAAGCTGTTCAAGTGGAACGTGTATTTCCCTAAATGAGCAGGAAAAGAATGAGGCTGGTTGAATACAATGTGCGCGCCATGATGGGTCTTCGCCGTGAATGTTAGAAATCTTCAGACTAACTACATACTTTTATTTAAAAGAATATAGTTTGTCTGAACATTTTACATGGAAATAAAGTAATAAGAAGCAATATATATATATATATATATATATATATATATATATATATATATATATATATGCATAGATATATATCATATCATACTTATTATAAAACCCAGGTTGTGTGTGTGTGTGTGTGTGTGTGTGTGTGTGTGTGTGTGTGTGTGTCTGTACGTTTATATATTGGATCGGATTTCCTACATTTTTCAACCGATTTCAACAAAACTTCACAGGACTGCGTAAAATTACCTTGCGGTGGTTCTGACAGCGCCAAAAATTGGAAAAACAAAATTGTTTTTGCACGAAATCAATGTGAAAACACGATTAAGAGGCATCGCTGTCGAGAATGAAAGGGGGTCAACTCATATCATACTTATCATAAAACCCAGGTTGTTTGTGTGTGTCTCTGTTCGTTTATATATGGGATGGGATTTCCTACATTTTTCAACAGATTTCAACAAAACTTCACTTTTTTTGGCAGGTAGTGTTTCTTATTGTCTTGCACACTTTTTTCTTTATTTTTACATTCAGAATGCTTTAAAAATTCCATTTACAAGACAATTGTTTATAATAAGATTCTATTCAATCGGTATACTCATAACGATTGAAAACAATGTTTTTGTTTGAGTTTGGGTTTGACCAATTCGTAAAAAAAACAAAAAAAAACTAATTAAGACATACGTGTCCGTCAACCTTAAACAATAATCTTTGTCAATTTTATTTTTCAGTCTTTATGATGGTCGATACTTGATCTATCTCTTACTGTTACATCCCCGGGCAACGCCGGACTCTACTGCTAGTATATAATACATAAAAGGTTAATGGTCAGAGTTGAATCAGACCAGAAAAAGTAGTATTAAAAGTGCTCAGCACACGTATGATAAAACAAGAGTAAAAATAACATGTAAAGCTTTTAACTTCAAAAGTCAGGAGGTCAGTTGAAACCGCTACCTTGGTTTCAACCTTACGGTACCTCAGGCGATTTTTATCAAATGACCACCTAACGCTTTTTGATTTTTTAAAAAAGACCGCTAGATTATTATTTTTAAAAATAAATAAACAAATGCACGACGCGTTGGGTGTAATAGAAAGGGAGGGGGGGATGTGAAGAAGAAGAAGAAGAAGAAGAAGAAGAAGAAGAAGAAGAAGAAGAAGAAGCATCATCATCATGATGTCTATTGTAAATGTGCTGGTGGGGAGTTAAAATACATTTTTTATCCAACCCTATATGCACTTCAGAAAAATTTCGTGATATGTAAGCAAGGACTTACGACTTCGGATTTCTGGTTTAAATGTTTCTTTGGATTTGAAAGTGTTATAGTCGCTAACTTTTTTCTGTTGGTAGAGGTGGTAAATATTTTTGTAGTTATAGCAAGTTTTTGATTTTTTTTTGTTAAATTTTCCGCCTTGCAAATGGCGATTGCAGTTGCATTTTCACTGTTGAAGATTGTAGGTGGCAGGGAAACCTGAAATCATAAAGGGGTTCCACAAGTGAGTAGTGCAAGAAAGTAAACGATTACTCTAGAATTAATGGTTGCATCTAGCTAATTAAGCAGTAATCGGTGAGACCTAGCTGCCAATCTAGTAGTACGCTTAAATTCACGCACTTGAGGTACCAATAGAAAAGCTCATTATAATAATTATGATGAAAATATAGAGAAAAGGCAAATGTAAGCTGGTGGGAAAAGTGACTGCAGTCGAGATGCCGGGTCCGAACTGATAACATTGCAGACGCTTCTTTGGATTTTATCAAGAATCTCTAGATAGTAGGAAAATCAGACCAGATATGGTACATGGTTATACATGTGCAAGATGGACTCTGACGAGAAAATATGAACTCAAGAAGGTGCAGACAGTTGTTCTTCTGGAGGGTAACATTAGCCATGCTGATGAAAGAGAGTAAAGGTTCTATATAGTGTGATAAAATGGTAGCAGTTTTCTTTTAAAGGCATTAAAATTTTCAAGCTCCAGTTAACCACTGATTTGGGGTCCTTTTCGGGACCAGTTTTACTTTGTTGGACCTAACGGACTTGCTACTAAGAAAGAAGTAAAGTACTTTTGGAACAGCTAGGGATCCTTCACACACACACACACACACACACACACACACACACACACATATATATATATATATATATATGTATAAAAGAAAAAAGTAAGCTGGTGAGAAAGTGACTGCAGTTGAGATGCTAGATCAGGACTGATAACATTGCAGACCCTTCTTTGAATTTTCTCAAGATTACATAGTAGGATGACCAGACCATATGTTGTGCATTTATAAATCTGCAGGATGGACTTGCAGCTCGCTATTTCAACATTAAAATATTGAAACCACTCTGGTAATGCGGTTAAATCCACGCAGTCAAGATACCAAAGTGGAGGGCTCATTAGAACAACTGCCATAAAAATTATATATATTTATAGAAAAGACGTGAACTTATGCTGGGAATAAACTGCCTGCACACAGATAGAAAACGAATTCATTATATATACAAAACCATTATTACCTGTCAAAAACGGACATACTTTTGTGGGGTATTTTTGAAAACTAAGAAGCTGATAGCATTTCGGATGAAATGGATCATATGCAATATGATAGCATTTCAGATGGAATGGATCATATGCAATATGATAGCATTTCGTATCGAATGGATCATATGCAATATGATAGCATTTCGGATGGAATGGATCATATGCAATATGATAGCATTTTGTATGGAATGGATCATATGCAATATGATAGCATTTCGTATGGAATGGATCATATGCAATATGATAGCATTTCGTATCGAATGGATCATATGCAATATGATAACATTTCGGATGGAATGGATCATATGCAATATGATAGCATTTCGTATCGAATGGATCATATGCAATATGATAGCATTTCGTATCGAATGGATCATATGCAGTATGATAGCATTTCGTATCGAATGGATCATATGCAATATGATAGCATTTCGGATGGAATGGATCATATGCAATATGATAGCATTTCGGATGGAATGGATCATATGCAGTATGATAGCATTTCGTATCGAATGGATCATATGCAATATGATAGCATTTCGTATCGAATGGATCATATGCAATATGATAGCATTTCGTATCGAATGGATCATATGCAATATGATAGGATCATTTCGGATGGATTTATGCAATATGATAGCATTGGAATGGATCATATGCAATATGATAGCATTTCGTATGGAATGGATCATATGCAATATGATAGCATTTCGTATCGAATGGATCATATATGATCGCATTTGATAGCATTTCGGATGGAATGGATCATATGCAATATGATCGCATTTCGGATCGAATGGATCATATGCAATATGATAGCATTTCGTATCGAATGGATCATATGCAATATGATCGCATTTCGTATCGAATGGATCATATGCGATAGCATTTATGATATATACGCATTTCGTATCGAATGGATCATATGATCGATGGATATGGATCATATGCAATTCGATATCATTTCGATGGAATGGATCATATGCAATATGATAGCATTTCGTATGGAATGGATCATATGCAATATGATAGCATTTCGGATGGAATGGATCATATGCAATATGATAGCATTTCGGATGGAATGGATCATATGCAATATGATAGCATTTCGGATGGAATGGATCATATGCAATATGATAGCATTTCGCAATGGAATGGATCATATGCAATATGATAGCATTTCGATGGAATGGATCATATGCAATATGATAGCATTTCGATGGAATGGATCATATGCAATATGATAGCATTTCGGATGGAATGGATCATATGCATATGATAGCATTTCGATGGATGGAATATGATTTCAGGAATGGATCATTTCGATAGCATTTCGATGGAATGGATCATATGCAATATGATCGCATTTCGTATCGAATGGATCATATGCAATATGATAGCATTTCGTATGGAATGGATCATATGCAATATGATCGCATTTCGATGGAATGGATGGATCATTTCGTATCAATGGATCATATGCAATATGATAGCATTTCGGATGGAATGGATCATATGCAATATGATAGCATTTCGGATGGAATGGATCATATGCAATATGATAGCATTTCAGATGGAATGGATCATATGCAATATGATAGCATTTCGGATGGAATGGATCATATGCAATATGATAGCATTTCGGATGGAATGGATCATATGCAATATGATAGCATTTCGTATCGAATGGATCATATGCAATATGATAGCATTTCGGATTGAATGGATCATATGCAATATGATAGCATTTCGATGGAATGGATCATATGCAATATGATAGCATTTCGGATGGAATGGATCATATGCAATATGATAGCATTTCGATGGAATGGATCATATGCAATATGATAGCATTTCGATGGAATGGATCATATGCAATATGATAGCATTTCGATGGAATGGATCATATGCAATATGATAGCATTTCGATGGAATGGATCATATGCAATATGATAGCATTTCGTATCGAATGGATCATATGCAATATGATAGCATTTCGGATTGAATGGATCATATGCAATATGATAGCATTTCGGATGGAATGGATCATATGCAATATGATAGCATTTCGGATGGAATGGATCATATGCAATATGATAGCATTTCGGATGGAATGGATCATATGCAATATGATAGCATTTCGATGGAATGGATCATATGCAATATGATAGCATTTCGATGGAATGGATCATATGCAATATGATAGCATTTTATGATGGAATGGATCATATGCAATATGAATGGATTTCATGGAATGGATCATATGCAATATGATAGCATTTCGGATGGAATGGATCATATGCAATATGATAGCATTTCATTTCGTGGAATGGATCATATGCAATATGATAGCATTTCGATGGAATGGATCATATGCAATATGATAGCATTTCGGATGGAATGGATCATATGCAATATGATAGCATTTCGGATGGAATGGATCATATGCAATATGATAGCATTTCGTATCGAATGGATCATATGCAATATGATAGCATTTCGATGGAATGGATCATATGCAATATGATAGCATTTTCGATGGAATGGATCATATGCAATATGATAGCATTTCGGATGGAATGGATCATATGCAATATGATAGCATTTCGGATGGAATGGATCATATGCAATATGATAGCATTTCGGATGGAATGGATCATATGCAATATGATAGCATTTCGGATGGAATGGATCATATGCAATATGATAGCATTTCGGATGGAATGGATCATATGCAGTATGATAGCATTTCGTATCGAATGGATCATATGCAATATGATAGCATTTTGTATGGAATGGATCATATGCAATATGATAGCATTTCGGATGGAATGGATCATATGCAATATGATAGCATTTCGATGGAATGGATCATATGCAATATGATAGCATTTCGATGGAATGGATCATATGCAATATGATAGCATTTCGGATGGAATGGATCATATGCAATATGATAGCATTTCGGATGGAATGGATCATATGCAATATGATAGCATTTCGGATGGAATGGATCATATGCAATATGATAGCATTTCGGATGGAATGGATCATATGCAATATGATAGCATTTCGTATCGAATGGATCATATGGAATATGATAGCATTTTGTATGGAATGGATCATATGCAATATGATAGCATTTCGGATGGAATGGATCATATGCAATATGATAGCATTTCGGATGGAATGGATCATATGCAATATGATAGCATTTCGGATGGAATGGATCATATGCAATATGATAGCATTTCGGATGGAATGGATCATATGCAATATGATAGCATTTCGTATCGAATGGATCATATGCAATATGATAGCATTTCGGATGGAATGGATCATATGCAATATGATAGCATTTTGTATGGAATGGATCATATGCAATATGATAGCATTTTGTATGGAATGGATCATATGCAATATGATAGCATTTCGGATGGAATGGATCATATGCAATATGAAAGCATTTCGTATGGAATGGATCATATGCAATATGATAGCATTTCGGATGGAATGGATCATATGCAATATGATAGCATTTTGTATGGAATGGATCATATGCAATATGATAGCATTTCGGATGGAATGGATCATATGCAGTATGATAGCATTTCGTATCGAATGGATCATATGCAATATGATAGCATTTCGGATGGAATGGATCATATGCAATATGATAGCATTTCGGATGGAATGGATCATATGCAATATGATAGCATTTTGTATGGAATGGATCATATGCAATATGATAGCATTTCGGATGGAATGGATCATATGCAATATGATAGCATTTTGTATGGAATGGATCATATGCAATATGATAGCATTTCGTATGGAATGGATCATATGCAATATGATAGCATTTCGTATCGAATGGATCATATGCAATATGATCGCATTTCGTATCGAATGGATCATATGCAGTATGATAGCATTTCGTATCGAATGGATCATATGCAATATGATAGCATTTCGGATGGAATGGATCATATGCAATATGATAGCGTTTCGGATGGAATGGATCATATGCAATATGATAGCATTTCGTATCGAATGGATCATATGCAATATGATAGCATTTCGGATGGAATGGATCATATGCAATATGATAGCATTTCGTATCGAATGGATCATATGCAATATGATAGCATTTCGTGTCGAATGGATCATATGCAATATGATAGCATTTTGTATCGAATGGATCATATGCAATATGATAGCATTTCGGATGGAATGGATCATATGCAATATGATAGCATTTCGTATCGAATGGATCATATGCAATATAGGTGAACAATTCAACTAGAAAAATTGAAAATAAATAAAATGTATTTAAATACAAATTAAAGACATGTCATAATAAATCATTCCATCTTAAATAAAATCAACAATGTTTTGCGGCAATATTAACATAAACTTGAGATTTTTCTTGTTAAAAATTGAATAATATTAACACATTCAAAGTTATGGATAAAATATAGTGAATTTTATATAAGTACTTTCGAAAATATTCTAAACAAGAGCATACCATGATGAAAAAAGGTCCCAAACTTGATAAAAATGTTTATGTTATTATTAAGAGGAAAGATCAATTTTTGATTATTTTATTAATTTTTTTCATCCTTTTTATCACGTTCGAAATTTTGTTAAAATTTTATTTTTCTTGCGTCAACTGGTGGACCAATGATTTGTATAGGGATTTTTAGCAACTTTTTTTTTTATTTTAAAAACACATTGTTTTGGAAATTCAAATAATTGTTGGATTTTAATGAAATTTTTAGAATTTATTCACAAACGAATTAAATTATTTGTAAAATTTTCTTTTTTAGAAAATCTTGGTAAAAATAATTTTTAAATCTGTTATCACCACGTAATTAATTTTATGAAATTTCGAGAAATGAAGATACAGCCATTTCATATTTATATTATTTAAAAGTAGGTCTCCTTGGAGAATTTAAATCATCAATTTGGTTTTGTCAAACAGAAACACTATTTATCGAAAATTTTCTTTGAATCGTAAGATAAAAAAAATATATAATAAAACTATGATATTATTAAATTAGAAAAGCTTTTAATTGTTTTTATGAATTAAGTATTAATTTCAGCCTTTTAGAAGATATTATTAAATGAAAACTATTTTTACTAATAATAAATGGAAAAGCTTAGTACAAATCATCAAACACCAATATTTTTAAAAGAATTTTGAGTTTTTTGTATGTGTATAAACGGGGCGATTTTGTAAGTACGGTAGATCATACACAACATTATCAGAAAATAAGAACAATAACTATAGTAAATTTAAGGTCAATATTTCTAAAATTCAATAAAACTCATTAATATTTTCCTAAATGTTTAAGATTACTGAGTACGTAAAAATTATATAAAAAAGTTTTGCAGATAAAGTCTTTGTACAACAACATTAGATCTGTTATCAGGTTATCAACACGTCTGCGATATTTCAAACTTAAAGTAAATAATATTTGTTTCAAATCAGATTAATTAACCTTAAATTAGCTAATATTCTTCAAATAAAGTTTCAGAAAATTATCAGGTTGTCAACACGTCACAATAGCTACTGTTTGGTTTAATATGCATTTCTGCGATATTTCAAACTTAAAGTAAATAATATTTGTTTCAAATCAGATTAATTAACCTTAAATTAGCTAATATTCTTCAAATAAAGTTTCAGAAAAAATATATTTTATTTTCGAAAGATTTTTTAATAAAGCTGTGAAAGTCGACTAAAAAAAAGCGCTAATCAGGTATTTTAGCAAAAAAGAAAAAAAAAATGAAAATTCTTCCAGTCAATTTGAATTAGTTTTTGGAAAACAGCAAAAAGTATTTTGCCTGTTGGAAATATTAAATTTAATATATAAAACCATATATATATATATATATATATATATATATATATATATATATATATATATATATATATATATATATATATATCTTATTACTTTATCACTATTTCCATAAATGTTCAGACGAACTACATTCTTTTAAATAAAAGAATGTAGTTTGTCTGAAGATTTCTAACATTCACGACGAAGACCCATCATGGCGCGCACATTGTATTCAACCAGCCTCATTCTTTTCCTGTTCATTTAGTGAAATACACGTTCCACTTGAACAGCTTCCTTCCACAAACCGCTGCCATTAT